ATCTGAAGGCACAAAACTCAATGGTAATCATAACTACACAGAAAAACAGAATACTGTAAAACTGTAACTGTGGCATGTAAACTACTAATATCTTAAGTGGAAGAACAAAAAGATGAGCCAATAAAAAATAAAAACTACAACTTTTCAAGACATAGTTCACAAAAAGTTAAAAAGCAGAGGGACAAATCCATGGAGAAATCCAAACCTGAACAGATCAATAATAAATAATGCTATTGAAGCCATTAAATTATCAGCAAAGGAAAGGCTGGGACCTGATGGCTTCAGAATTGCTGAATTTTACCAAAAATTAAAAATAGAACTGATACCAATCCTACTCAAACTATTATGAAAAATAGAGGAGGAGGATATGCTTCCAAACTCAGTATACAAGGCCAACATTATCCTGATACTGAAACCCAATAAAGACACATCAAAACAAACTCAAACAAACAAAAAACCTACAGGCCAATATCCCTGAAGAGGATTGATGCTGAAATGCTCAGCCGAAACACTAGCAAACTGAATACAACAGTACATTGAAAAGATCATTCATCATGACTAAGAGGGATTTATTCCATGCAAAGATGGTTCAACAAATGCAAATCAGTCAATATGATACATCTTACCAACAGAAAGGACAAAAACCATATGAACATTTCAATTGATGCTGAATAAGCATTTGATAAAATTCAACAGCTCTTCATAGTAAGAACCCTAAAAAAACTGGGTATACAAGAAATATACCTCAACATAATAAAAACCATATACAACAGATCCACAGCTAGTATCATATTGATTGGGGAAAGACTGAAAGCCTTTCCTCTAAGATCTGGAACAAGACAAGGATGCCCACTTTCACCACCATTACTCAACATAGTACTGAAAGTTCCACCCAGAGCAATCAGCCAAGAGAAAAAAAATCAAGGGACTCCAAATTCGAAAGAAAGAAGTCAAATTATCCTTGTTTGCAGGTAATACAATGTTGTATTTGGAAAAACCTAAAGACTCTACCAAAAAAACATTGGAACTGATAAACAAACTCAGTAAAGTTGCAGAAGACAAAGTCCACAAACAAAAATCAGTAGCATTTCTATACACCAACGGCAAACAATCTGAAAAGGAAATCAAGAAAATAATCCCATTTATAATAGCCACAAATAAAATAAAATACCTGGAAATTAACCAAAAAAGTGAAAGATCTCTACAATGAAAACTATAAAATATTGATGCAAGGAATTGAAGAGGACACAAAAAATGGGAAGATATTCCATGTTCATGGATTGGAAAAGTTAGTATAGTTAAAATGTCCATACTACCCAAAGCAATCTACATATTTAATGCAATCCCTGTCAAAATACCAATGACATTCTTCACAGATATAGAAAAAACAATTCAAAAATGTATATGGAACCAAAAAAGACCCAGAATAGCCAAAGGTATCCTCAGCAAAACGAACAAAACCGGAGAATAACATTACCTGACTTCAAATTATGCTACAGAGCTATAGTAACCAAAACGGCATGACACTGACATAAAAACAGACATATGGGCCAATGGAACAGAAGAGAGAACAGAGAAATAAATCCATACATCTACAGTGAACTCATTTTTTTTACAAAGGTGCCAAGTACATACATTGGGGAGAGGACAGTCTTCAATAAATGGTGCTGGGGAAATTGGATATTCATATGCAGAAGAATGAAACTAGACTCCTATCTCTCACCATATACCAGAATCAAATCAAAATGAATTAAATACTTAAATCTAAGACCTGAAACTATAAAACTACTGAAAGAAAACATTGGGGAAACTCTCCAGGACACTGAACTGGGCAAGGATTTCCTGAGTAATACCCCACGAGCACATGCAACCAAAGCAAAAACTGATAAATGGGATCAAATCAAGTTTAAAAAGCTTCTGCACAGCAAAAGAAACAGTCAATGCACAGAATGGGAGAAAATATTTGCAAACTCCTATCCATCTGACAAGGAATTAATAACAAGAATATATAAAAAGTTCAAACTCTCTGGAGAAAAAAAATCTAATAATCTGTTTTTTGTTTGTTTGTTTTTTTAGACAGGGTTTTGCTCTTGTCACCCAGGCTGGAATGCAATGGCACAATCTCACCTCACTGCAACCTCTGCCTCCTGAGTTCAAGCAATTCTCCTGCCTCAGCCTCCCAAGTAACTGGGATTACAGACACCCACCACCATACTTCACTAATTTTTTTTTTCTGTATTTTTAGTAGAGATGGGGTTTCACCATGTTGGCCAGGCTGGTCTTGAACTCCTGACCAGATGATCCACCCATCTCAGCCTCTCAAAGTGCTGGAATTACAGGCATGAATCACCACTCCCGACCAAGACAGGCAATTACAAATGCTGGCAAGGACGTGGAGAACACACACAGTCATACACTGTTGGTGAGAATGTAAATTAGTACAACTACTGTGGAGAGCAGTTTTGAGGTTCCTCAAAAAACTAGAAATAGAGCTACCATATGATCCAGCCATCCCACAGCTAGATATCTACTAAAAAGAAAGAAAATGAGTATATTGAAGAGATATCTGCACTCCCATGTTTATTGCAGCACTATTCACAATAGCCAAGATTTGTAAACAATCTAAATGTCCATCAACATTAGATGAATGGATAAAGTAAATGTAGTACATGTACCCAATGGAGTACTATTCAGCCATAAAGAGAATGAGATTCTATCATTTGCAACAACATGAATGGAATCAGAGGTAACTATGTTAAGTCAAATAAGTCAGGCACAGAAAGACAAGCTTCACATCTCACTTATTTGTGGGAACTAAAATTTAAAACAATTGAACCCATGGAGATAAAAATTAGAATAACAGCTACCAGAGGCTGGGAAGGGTAGTAATGGGGTTGGGGAGAAGTGGGATGGTTAATGGGTACAAAAAAATAGAAAGAATGGATAAGATCTTCTTTTTGATAGCACAACAGGGTAACTATATTTAGTAACAATTTAATTGTAGATTTTAAAATAACTAAAAAAATATAATTGGATTTTTTGTAACACAAAGGATAAATGCTTGAGGCAGTGAATCCCCATTTGCCCTGATGTGATTATTACATATTGTATGAATATTTCATATGCCCCATAAATATATACACATACCATATACACAAAAATTAAAAATTAAAAAACAAGAATTATTAGTTTGTGGTTTTGGGCACACAATGTATAAAGAAGGAATTTTATCAACAATCAAAAGGGGTAGATAAGGAGCTGTAAAGCAGCCGAGTTTTTGTATGTTACTGAAGTTAAACTGGCATAAATCCAAATTAGAATGTTATAATTTTAAGATATTAAATGTAATCCCTCTGGTAACCAGAAATAAAATAACTATAGAATAGATATAAGAAGAAATGAAAAAGAAATTTAAGCATTTCCTATAAAAAAATCAACTAAACACAAAAGAAGACAGTAATGCAGAAAATGAGGGGGAAAAAGCTTAAGGCATATAGAAAACAAACAGCAAAATGACAGAAATAATTCCCTCATTAGTAATTACTTTAAATATAAATGGATTAAACTTTTCAGTCAAAACACAGAGATTGGCAGAATGGATAAAAATATAAAGCTAGCAAGCAAAACTTCAGAGCATATTAAAATGATTACACACCATAACCAAATAGGACTTATTCCTGGAATGCAAGGATGGTTCCACATATGAAAATTGATCAGTATAATAATATACACATTAAAATAATGAAGGGAAAAAATTCCATGGCCATTCCAATGGATGCATAAAAAACATTTCACAAAATTCGACATCCTTTCATGACAAAAACACTAAAAAAACTAGCAACAGAATGAAATTGATATAAAAATCATATATAGAAAACCATATCCCAAACATCATACTCTATGGTGAAAGACTAGAAGCTTTTCCTCTGTTATCAGAAACAAGACCAGGATGTCCACTTTTGCCACTTCTACTCAACATAGTATTGGAAGTTTTAGCCAGAAGGATTAGGCATAAAAGAGAAATAAATGGCATTCAAACTGGAAAGAAAGAAGTAAAATGATCTCTATTCACAGATGATCTTATATGTAGAATGCCCTAAATATTCCACAAGAAACTTTGAGATCTAATAAATAAATTCAGCAAAGTATCAGGAGACAAACTCAACACACAAAATTAGTTGCATTTCTACACATTAACAATGAAAAATCTGAGAATTTTTTTTAAAAAAATCCTATTTACAATAACATCAAAAAGAATAAAATACTTAGGAATTAACTTAACCAAAGAGGTGAAAGACTTGTACAGTGAAAACTAAAAAACATTGCTGAAAGAAATTAAGGACAGCAATAATGGAAACATTTCCTATTCATGGACTGGAATACTTAATATTGTTAAGATGTCAGTACTGCCCAAGCTGGTCTATCAAAATCTCAACGAGCAAGAGAAACTCATTCTAAAATTTATATGGAACCTCAAGAAACCCCAAATAGCTGACTTATTTTAAATGAGAACCAAAAAGAGGTAGAACTCTTGGAAACTTTGTGCTTTGTGTTTTCCATTTCTATTGATGGACTTTATTAAGTTGGCCACTAGCGACAGAGTGGCCTGTGCCATTTTCCGAATTGCTGCTGAATACTCTGGGCAAGTGTGCCTCATTTTTCTAATTGGGACGTAAAGTCCTTAAGGTAAAGAATTGTTTTATTCTTCCCTGTATCTCCCAAAGTAATTTTCATGGGACAGGAGCTTCAAGTGGGCATTCATTGACTGGTTTCATGGTGTTTGATGGTTTCATTCATTCGTTCATCCATTCCACAGCCCTTTATATGTGCATATCATGCAGCGAGAAGGGCTAAAACATGGGCCCAAGATGCTTTGGGTTAGGAGGACCAGCCCCCTTCACTGGGGACCTGAGTACCAGGGCCCATATTCAATGCCCCTATTGCCCTATTTCTGAAGAAGAATCCCAGAAGGTCATGGAGATGCCACTCCATGTCCTTACCTGGATAGATCCTGAAGAATCCAGTCGCACTGCCAAAATATTGCCAGGTCAACGTCGGATCTCTCTGGAAGTTCTCCACAAAGACAGCATTCAAGGCTTCAGACATGTAGACTCCATTTAAAATATCGGGGTCTGAAGTGTGAGATTATAGAAGATGATGATCCTGCAGGGCTTCTCAGGAAAATGGTGGGTGTGCCTGGTGAATGTGCCCGGTGGGTGTGCCTCGTGATTGGGCCTGGTGAATGTGCCGGGTGGGTGTGCCTCGTGATTGGGCCTGGTGAGTGTGCCTGGTGGGCATGCCTCATGATTGGGCCTGGTGGGCATGCCTGGTGAGTGTGCCTGGTGAGCATGCCTGGTGTGCCTGTTGGGTGTGCCTGGTGGCTGTGTCTGTGCCTGGTGGGTGTGCTGGGTGGGCGTGCCTGGTGGGTGTGCCTAGTGGTTGTGCTGGGTGGGCGTGCCTGATGAGTGTACCTGGTGAGTGTGTCTGTGCCTGGTGGTTGTGGCGGGTGGGCGTGCCTGAGTGTGCCTGGTGAATGTGTCTGTGCCTGGTGGGTGTGCTGGGTGGGCGTGCCTGGTGGGTGTGGCCGGTGAGCCTGCCTGGTGAGTGTGCCTGAGCGGAGCGCGCCGGCTACCTTTGTTGTACACGTTGGTGGGCAGCTGCACGCTGCTGATGGAGGTGTTCACCGGCAGGTTGCTGAAGTGCGCGTTGGACTCCAGGAGGAACTCGGCGCCCAGCTCCACGAAGTTTCCGTTCTCATCCCTCTCGTTGATCAGGACCGAGTTGTAGTAGTCGAACTGCGGTGGACGAATGAGGCCCACAGAGACGTCCGGAGCACAGGGACACGCGGAGAGAAAGGATGAGAAACCGCGCAGGTGAGAGGATGCAAGGGCTGGGGCCAGCCGGCCATCAGTGTCCACACAAGCACCTGCAGTGGTGCCCTGGGCGATGGTCAGGGCAGTTTGGGACAAGAATATCCAGGAGGCCGGCGCGAGGGGCATGAGACTGGCGTTTGATGATGGTTGTCCTGACCGCTGCCTCGGTCCCCTACTTGGTGCAGCATGTGTGGACACGGCCGAGGCGGAGCGGAGACACGCAGCCGCGGAGTCAAGGGCACATACAGACAAAGCGCCCATCAACCCTCTCCACTTCTTGCGGGCCAGGAAAGTCCCAGGATGGTGCCTGCAGCCTTGGCCTCAGCCAGGGCCCAGGTTCCTAGTCCCGTGGGGAGGAGCCACAGCTGCCCTCGGTCTCTCCAATGCGGTGTTGAGGGTGCGCTAGGATTGCCTCCTGTGGAGCCCGGGCCCATTTCCTCCACACCTGAACACCCCCCAGGACTGCCTCGCAGACACCCGACGCCCACCCCCACGCCAGTTTCCTGCACCCCACACCCAGCTCCTCCTCACGTCCGCTGCGACCGCGCTGGTCTTCCACGCACACTCCCAGCCGCGCCCCTGCCCTGCTTAAACCCTCTGCATCTGCGTTTCCCTGCTGGGAAAGGCCAGACCCCTACACTGGCACCCGAGGCTGCCCCCACCCCCTCAGCTAACTGTCTAAGGCCACTGTCTGCGTCACCAGTCTCTGGACACACAGGGCCCAGGGCCCACTGTTTAGTCAACTAACCTTGGGTTTTCTTATTTCTGTGTCTTCTTTCCTCTGTGACTAAAGGCCCCTTTTCCAGGCTCTGCCTGCCTAAATCCCCCTGAGCCTCCCCCCTTCTCCAGGCCCCTTTGGGGCGCCCTCCCCTTCCCCAGGCTACATTCTCCTGAGGCTCCACCCACCCATTTGTAGGGACTTGTGATGTGCCTTATACTGGAGTTATTTGACTGAACTTCTTGAGGTCAAGAACAAGTCCTGCTCCAGAGGCTAACACATTGCTGTGCCTGTGGGGGGTGAGCAGTAAATGTCAATGGAATGAGTGGATTGCCACCCTACACTGCCACCCCCATATCTGGTACTTAGGTGATCCTGGCCCTCTGTCACCAGTGCCAGGAGTGGGACTCACCACCAGAGATTCGTTGAATTCGTGGTTCAGATCGGCCTCCTCGGCAGCCTCCACCAGATTCTGAGGGACGGAACACAGAGGTAGGGAGAATGGGTAAAAGGAGCCCAGTGGGTTTTCAGCAAGTGAAACAGTCACCTCGTGACCAGCAATTCCACTCCTAGGTGTATGCCCAGAAGTGAAAACAGGGACGCAGAATAGAACTTAGGCATGAATGTTCACAGCCACGCTACGCACAACAGCCAAAAGGCCATGCCTATGGCTAAGTGAGAGCAGCCCTTTGGAAGAGGCCATGCGCCGTGTGGTCCCAACGACGCGGCAATCTGGAAAAGGTCTGACTGGGGAGATGCAGAAGATAAGTGGCTGCCAGTCGTTGGGGATTTTTAGGGCAGTGAAATGTTTTTGTCTGATACTGTAATAGTGAATGCATGTCATTGCACGTGTTTCAAAACTCACAGAATGTACGAGAGTGAACCCTAATGTGCACTATGGACTTTGGAATAATGGCGATTCATGGATTATAACTCATCTACCTCTATGATGCAGGATGTTGACAGTGGGGGAGGCTGTGGCAACAAGGGATGTATGAAAACTGTACTTTCTGCTAAATTTTGCTGTGAAGCTAAAACAGCTCTAAAAAATAAAGTCCACTAAAAGGTGTGTGTGTGTATTCAAAGCCAAAAGGTGGAAACAACTCAAATATCTGTCATTTGATGAACTAATAAACAAAATATAGGCTATGCATACAATGGAATATTATGCAGCCCTAAAACGGAGTGAAGTGCTAGTGCACAGAACAACATAGATGAACCCTGGAGACATTATGCTAAGTTAAATAAATCAGGTACAAATGGTCACATGTTGTATAATTTCATTTACGGGAAATACCTGCGATAGGCAAATCCATGGACAGAAAGCAGACTAGTGGTTGCAGAGCTAAGGGGAGGGGGATATCCGGATTCTGTTTGGGGTGATGAAAACGTTTGGAACTAGATGATGGAGATGGTTGTACAACATTGTGGATGTACTTCATGCCACTAAACTGTACACTTTAAAATGGTCAGTTTTATGTTACACGGATTTTACCGCAATACAAATCTTTTTTAAAGAGCAGGCCAGCAACACAGAGTCAGGGTGGGGGCAGTGCTTTGGGACTCAGAAGACCCAAGCTCCTGTTCTGGTTTTGTCAGGGCCAAGCCGCTAAGCCTCCCTGGTCCTCTGGTTACACATCTGTAAACTGGGTAGAATAATCCCTGCCTCCCCACTCCCAGCCTACAGATCCTAGGATAAAGAAATTCTACAGGGAAAAACTAATTTCAGGGCTGCTTTGCAGGAAACTTCCCATGCGCACCCCCAAAGAAGTTCTGCAGCCCCCACAGATCCCACCCACAGCAGGGGCAGGGACCGGTGCTCAGAGGAAGTCCTCAGAGCAGCGCTTCTTGGTGTCTGAGGCTGTGGAAGGGCACAGAGAACCTGGAGCCCCAGCCTTTGGGGGTGTCCCAGGACTGCTTGCTACTCTAGTGACGAAAGGACCGACGCCCACCCGAGTCAGGCGAGTCTCAGACGCCACTCTCTGTGTTCGACCCAGGGAGGCTGTGTACACAGCGCTTGCTGATTGAAGGAGGCAGGTGTTAATGCGGGTGTCAGGCTGTGTGTGAGGTTTGTGCCTTCCTGCTGTGGTGTGTGATTCAGGGACCCGGGATAGGTGCTTGGGTCCCCAGGCATCTTCTCATTGGTTCCTGATGCTAAGATCCCTTGCCCCTAAGCCTGCAGAAATGCTGTGCATTATAACACGTGGGAAAGAAGGCCCCAGCCACCCTGACCCTGGTCGCCTCCCAGAGCAGGGGTTGTGATGGGGATGGGGGAAAGACAGCGCACTGGGGAGGCTGCAGCTCACCTGCCCTGTCTGCTCCTTCCCCTGCTGCTTGGCCCTGGCCTCAGCCTCCCAACCCAGCCAACCACTCCCAACCCCATCTGCTCTCTCCTTGTTTTCTGGCTGGTCTTATGAGTCCTTTCAGGGACTGCACTGGTCTTGGATGGTCCGATTCTTGGTTGGATGGAGCGGGGGACTGTGTCTCTCCAATCACACCGTATCTACTGGTTTATACCATCCGGGTCCCCATAGGCGTCAGTGCAGACACTTCATCCCGGGGAAGGGGACACCTCCTGTTTCTCCTGGGCCCCACCAGGCTTCATGGATGTTCAGTAACAGAGTCACCTGGGCACAAGGCCCACCCCCATAAGCACCTCTGCTGCCCAGGTGGCCCTCAGAGCACTTGGGAGCCATGAAGGTGGTCCTGATGGCTGAATGAGGGGAAGGGAGGAACGAGGAGAGAATGGAAAGAGGAGAGGGGAGGGTGGGAGTTTGGCTTTGCTGGCTCCAGCTAGCTCGCCTCCCACCCTCCTTCTCATCTGTCCAACCATTCTCAAAGCAGTTCCTAGGTGCTCACGCTGTGCCATGCTCTGTACTGATCACTGAGTGTGGCCTGGTGACTCGAGTTCCCCTCAATGCTGCAGGCTGACCTGGCTGTGCTGGGCATTGGCACCTCGGGGCAGAGCTCCAGTTCCAGCCCCTCCCCTCTCCTCTTGCTTCCTATCATTTCCTCTTTTACAGGGATTCTTGGAGTAAGGGTCTTTTGCCTAATGGAGGTACAAGGTGGCATCTTGTAAGATAGGAGAGGGTCACGAGGGTGGGAGGATGCAGGCCCATGACATCGGGAGGGTCACTCTGCCACCCTGCATCACAGGCTGGGGAGAAACGCCCTGCAGATCACAGGCCTGGAGTACCTGGACGGCCTCGACTTTTCTCCGCAGCATGGTCTCCATGTCCTCTGAGAACTTCCTCACCAGCTCCAAGCCGTCCACCTCCTCGATCTTCAGACTGGGCTCCACATCCTTGTACTTCTGTTTGGGGAACGTGGGAGAGTTGGATGCACATGCTTTTGTACCAGGATGGCTGCACCTGTGTATGCACGGCCTCCATCCTCTCAACAGGTGTATTCCAGCACTTGGAGCCTGGTTTACTCAACTAGGGCGAGGCCCAGCCCTCTCCTTGGACAACATCCCCAGCGATAGTGTAGCTGCGTTTCTTCCAATGTCCTCTCTGTTCCACGTGCTCTAGACATACTGTGGCTATAGCCTTAAAAGGGGAGTAGATCCAGGCTCAGAGAAGTCAGTGAACTTGACCAAGGTCAACAGCCAGGTGAGCAGGTGAGCCCTGAGGGGGCCAGTCTCCCAGGCATCCCCGCCCATGTCCTTTGTGCAGCGCCACACTGCTTCCCAGGGCTTCTGAAACCACTCCTGGCATCAGTTCACCTTTCTTCAATGCCCTTGAAGGGGCTCTTGTTACGCATGTGCCCCTGTGCGCGTGGATGTGGACCCCAATTCCCACTGTCCCAACAGAGCTCAGCAGCTCCACCCATGAGCCTAGGAACGGGGTTTGAGTTTTCTCCCTGGGCCCAGTGAAGACGAGCTCTCACTGACTGTATGTATTGTGAATGTTCACCCAGCTCGTCAATTTATTGGCCGTGTGACCACAGACAAGCCAGTCAATCAGTTCCTTCATCTGTAATACGTGACATTTACATAGCTTTAGTGAATGCTCTGGAATGCATACATTTTACAGAATGCTTTTATCCCACACGGCAGCATCAGTATTGCTCTGTGCTCCTCGCCCTGGGTTGTGGTGCTTTGCAGCATAGTAGCCTGCAGTGAGGGGCAGGAGGGGTCTTAGCTGTCATTGCTATAGTGGCCTGTGGGGGCCTGGGGAGCAGCCCGCCCTGGCTTCTCTTACTTCCACCAGGGACAGGCTCGTGGGCTGTGGACAGGGGAGATGAGGAGGGACATGCCATCACATGCAGGCATAAAAGCCTGGGATTCAGGATCTTTGTGATATGGAAATGGTGCCTCATGGTTTGGTGGTGGGAATGAAATCGTGACGAAGCTCTTAGTGAATGGTAACAATAGAGGAGGGTGAGCTGCCATTGTTACTGCTCTGGGGAGTAACAAATATTAGAGAACTGTGAAGTTGTTTATAACCTGGTAAGAAGATCAGAGAGCCATAAGTCTGTGAGGAAAGCAATGCATACTAAGAGGGCGGGTGCTGGACGTGGCTGGGGGCTGACAGCTGGAAGTATGGGAGCTTTCCCTGCACAAAGGCCACAGCCTGCCCACCTTCCCTGGCCCAAGCAGCTCCTAGGGCCCTGCACACGCCCTCTAAGGCTCCGCTAGCATCACAGGTGTTAGGCCTGCATCCCACTCCACCCACTCCCTCCGTCTCCCCATTATTCTTCACCCCACCCCCACCCCGCACATCTCCTGCAGGTGTAATTCCACCTTGGCCTCTGCTCCCTGAGGACCTGGCGCAGTGCTCTTGACCATGCCCCTGAGCTGTCCCCCACTGCCTTGAGCAAATCATTCACCTCCGTGGGCCTCAGTTTCCCCAGCTGAAATGAGCTGACTTGATGGGATGCCCAAGGCCCCTCCCAGCACTGGCATTTGGGGGGCTTTGACAGCTGACTGCCCTCTGCCACCCTGTGGGCTCCCTGGAAGGGGGTGACTGACCTTCTGCAGCAAGAGGGAGCCCGAGTATTTGGTCACAGTGTTATACAGGTCCCCGCCAAAGGTGTCAGCCCACAGCTTCACTCTGCCAGGCAATGAAAAGACATGTGTATACACACACATACATACACAAATACAGAAACACACACATAAACATATAGATTCACACACATAGAAAGCAAGTGTCTACACACAGATATCCGCTGATGCATGCACACTCAAACTCATAGACGCATAATGCATATGAAATGCACACACACGGCTGGCGCGGTGGCTCACACCTGTAATCCCAGCACTTTGGGAGGCCGAGGTGGGCAGATTAGGAGGTCAGGAGTTCGAGACCAGCCTGACCAACATGCTGAAACCCTGTCTGTACTAAAACTACAAAAATTAGCTGGCATGGTGGTGCGCACCTGTAATCCAAGTTACTCAGGAGGCTGAGGCAGGATAATCGCTTTAACCCAGGAGGCAGAGGTTGCAGTGAGCTGAGATCATGCCATTGCATTCCAGCATCGGCAACAGAGCAAGAGTCCATCTCAGACAAACAAGGAAAGAAATGCACGCACACATACCCACACATGCATACCCGTACACACACATGCATACCCATACATACACATGTGTACCCGTACACACATGCATACCTCTACACACATGCATACCCATACACACATGCGTACCCATACCCACACATGCATACCTGTACGCACACATGCATACCCGTACATGCACATGTGTATCTGTACACACATGCATACCCGTACACACATGCATACCCATACACACATGCATACCCATACACACATGCATACCCATACACATACATACATACCTGTACATGCACATGCATACATGTATACGCACATGCATATCTGTACACACATGCACACCCATACACACACACGTACCAGTACACGCACATGTACTCTTACACACAGGTACATACATGTACAAACATACATGCCCATACACACATGCATACCCATACACACACATGCATACATGTACACACATTCAAATGCATACACACACATGCACACACATACACACATGTGACATATGCCCAGAAACACGCAAAAGAGCTCCTGTCCCTTCTCCTGTCCCTAAAGCTACAGGCGTGGGCTGGGTAGGGGATGCGGAGAACCCTCAGGACCCAGTGGCTGCCCTGCTGTGTGGTGAGCGCCCTTGTCAGGCTCTCCTGTTGAGGGTTGTGGGGCAGGGCTGACGAGCCCAGGACTGAGCCTGTCCCCAAGCCTCCAGGGCCTCTGGTTGGAAAGTGGTGGACTGAGAGGACAGAAGGAGGGAGAGGCAGTGGACAGGCTCAGGCCAGGGCCGGAGGACCCTGAGGACAAAGGAGGATCTGCCTGGCCACCCTGTGGCCTCTCAACAAATCGTTCCCTCCAGTGTACTCCCTTCAAGGCCATTGTGGGCTGCCGAACCCTCTGTTGAAACCTCAGAGACTGCATGAGGCAAGGGTGTAAGAGGAAAACGCTCTGAGCTGCCTCTGCTGAGGCCGAGGGCAGGACAGGCCCGGAGGGCGCAAGGAGGCCACACCTCGCCCTCTGTAGTCAGCCTAGTGGGGAGCCCCAACCTCTTGCCCATGCCCCAGAAATGTACCACGATCCCACCATCTGGGCCAGGTTCCTGAGGTCCTGGGGGCGGCACACAGGACTGGGTCTGCTGAGCCTCTCCAGATGGAGCAGTAGTGGTTTGCCTGTGTGATCATTTCAAGATCAGCAGTCATTCAGTCACTCAACCAATGTTTATCAAGGTCCTACCGTGTGGCAGCCTGGAGCCATCCTACAGTCCCCGTCTTTGCAGGGACACCTTTCTCATGCAGATAGCATGGTACATATTTGAAGGTGCCCATGAATGTTGGGGAGGAGAGTGGTATAAGGGAAGGCTTCCTGGGGGAGGGAGAGCTGAGCTCTGGGCTAGAAGTTTGGTAGAGGTTAGCCTGCAGAGGGATCTGGAAGAGGATTCTAGGTAGGGAGAACAGAAGAGCTTAGAGGAGTAAAAAATGACTTTCAGGTTTCCAGTGTGGGTCGTCGACCTGATGGTGTTGTTACTGAATAAAATTAAGACTATCAGGAAGATCGGGGGAACACGCTGAGGAGGGTGAAGGGCGATGTGTGTACCTTGGGCTCTGTTGAATGTGAGGTTCCGTTGTTGAGCTACCAAGGGGAGCTCTACAACGAATAGGCAGGTTGTGTACCGCACAACTCTAGAAGGCACTGATTGTGTTTTATCTTGAAAGACACAAATCTGAATTTAACACCTCACATGATGTTCAGGAAAAGCTGCCCGTAAGCATTGAGCATGTGTCTAACAGGTAGAGACAGGGCTGAGAGTATTAGTACAAAGGTAGGGATTGAAATTCCGAGGGCAGTGGGGCTCTCTCAAGAAGAGTGTGCAGCATGAGATCTCTGAGCATCGAGAGAAGCTGGGGAGCACCCCCAACCTCAGAGGAAGGCAGAGGAGGAGGAGCACTTGAAGATGACAGAGGTAACCCAGTGCCTGTGGGGATCCAGCGGAGTGCAGTGCCATGGAAGTCAACACACTGGGATACAAGGAGACGGGGGCTAGTGTGTTCCAAGCAATAGGGTCTGGGGAGACAAGGCCAGGAACATCTCCTGGATTGGGCATGAGGAGGGCTCTGGTGACCTTGTAGAGAACAGACTTGGGAGGAGAGGGAAGCCCGGCAGGAGGGAGGGAAAGACTGAGATGAGAGGTTCAGCGGGAGTCAGGATGGATGGGGCCAAGTCCTGGCCAGGCAGATGTGGTTGTTTGTAGGCTGTCATCTCTGGCAGCGCCCAGGGCTTCTGCGTATATGGGCACTGGGGCCCCCTCCCCGAAGGCCTGGATTCCAGCCACCCTGACTTGGCCCTCAGCCCACTCCTGGAGTTGGCCTTCTCCTCTCAGCTGGCATGTGTTCTGGGGATGAAAATTGTTCTCGGCATCTCCCGCAGCAACAGATAGCGTTACAGGCTGGCAGTGGGTGTGACGGTGAAATCACAGTCCAGGCTGACTGGGGTTCAAATCCCAGCACCTTCATCTCCTGATCTTGTGAGCTTAGGGAAGTCACCCGACCTCTCTGGGCCCCTGTTTTCCTTAGCTGCAAAATAGGGATAACATAAGACCCCACTGAAAGGCTGGGCAGACTTACGGTGTCATTTGTGAAGCACCCAGCTCAGTGCCAGGCGTGGAACAAGGAGAGCTATGTGGCTCAATGGGAAATGATGCCACCCGGTCCACTGCTCAGAAGGCTAACCCCATGCACAGTGCGTCATTTGGGATCCCTGTCCCCACTCCTGCTAAGACATGCTGTTGGCAGGTGGCTCTGCTGGTGGCCTGGCCATGGTGCCAGGCTCAAGTGGCTGGATTAAACAGGACAGGGTCTGTAGCACCCACAGTCTAGGAGGCTCTGCTCCCCACATGTATTGGAACTTTCCTTCCTAGGACCACCAGAGCTGGGGCATAAAACACAGACACCGTGGAGAGGTTGCACAGTAATTTAAATTTACACCAAGGTGCACACGACTGATACCAGGTTGTTTCCTGGGGTTGGCCTCAATGGCCGGCTATAGAATCAAGGCTGAAAGGTATAAAAAGGGAAGACTATGGCCACCAAAATCTATCTTTTTTCCCAGTTCCTGGACAAGCCACCTCCTGTGTGCCTGAGACATTCTGTGGGTTCAGAACTGCTTCACCTTTTTGGAAAGTCAAAATACGCATTTCCTGCCAAATCCTCCGGGGAGCTGCGATGGTCAGATAACCCGGCTCCCCCAGGCCACCTCATCTCGGAGATCTCAGCGATTATCCTGAAGGAGCACCCGCCCTGCAGGTGCCCCAGAAGCTGCCCATGAGGCCAGGAAGAGAGCAGCCCTGATTATCAGTTCTGCCTGAAGCCATCCGGTTCCTGGGGAGGGGCAGGTGGGACTCCAGAACCCACAGAGCTTTTGGGAGGAGAGATTGGAGGCCGGAGAAGAAAAGGAATTTACAGCAAGAGAGTGGGCAGTCACAGCTGCAGGGGGAGAGCTCACAGGGAGGGCAGGGGTCGGAGGAGTAGGCAGAGGGCGGAGGTCCAGCCCAGGAAGGAAGCAGGAAAGCACGACGGGGTTTTGTGGGGTGGAGGTGAACGTGATGCTTACGTTTCCAGAGGAATCTTGGCCTGCCCCCACGTGGGGGACAGGGAGGTGCCCAAGAGCAGCAGCCACAGGAGGGCCGAGGTCTTCCGCATGAAGGCCCAGGCCACCAGCCTTGGCTGGTGGGGAATCCAGCAGCCAGTGGAGCTGGGGTTTGTGTAGAAGCTGGGGGGTGCAGGCATGATGGCCCTGCTGGGGTCGGGGAGGGGAAGGAGGACAGAGCAGCCACCAACCATGAGGTCTGTCTGACTGCCTTCCAGACCCCAGAGATGCCCCAAGCCTTTGCCTTCTGGGTCCTGGTGAGCCTGGGGTCCCCAGCCTCTCAGTGGTGGGTGGGGAGGGCTTCTCTCTGCCCTACAGCTGCAGCTCACAGAAGAGTCGCCCCACCTAGCAAGCAGGCGTCAGGGAGAGGGACTGAGGGGAAGGCTGTGGCAACGTGAACCCCTTTAATCCACTGGCCTCTCTGCTAATCCTCTCCTGACAGCAGGGAGGGGCTGGTGGGGGTGGAGAGCTGCCTCCCAAGATTACTGTGACTGCGGCTCGTGCCCTCAGGCTGCAGTGCACCCCTCTGCTTTAAAGACGCAGCCCCGTTCCTGTGGAACTACCTTCTGGTCTCGGGAAGGGCTTGCTGTGGCCCTGGCTGGAGGATAGCAGCTGAGTTTGCACAGTGCTCTGATTGACCCACAAATCTCTTTTTGACTCTTGGAGGAATCCTGGGGTGAAAGCCAGGTCCTTGTCCCTGCTTGGCAGAGGCTCTTGAGGCCCCGGGAGTCCCAGGGGCAGAGGTGGAACTCTGGCTGGTGTTTCTAGGCCTGATGCCTTTGGGCCAGGTCATAGGTCATAGGTGAAGTCACTGGGCCCATGCTTCCACATCTCAGCTGCTCGTGGGCGGGGCTGGGGACACATCTGCTATGCAGCTGATGAAGCTTCGGGGCCCCTGACTGCACAGACTCCTTCCTTTCCCGGAGAGGCCCTAGCAACATGTTCCTGTGGCCAAACGTTTTTGTAAAATATGCAAAAGTGAGATAGTTTAATCATAACCCGTTGAGACATCTGTCTCTTTGCATCCCAACTTCTCTTCTGTCCAATGGACCCTTAGTTGGATGATGTGTTAGTGGCCGAGGGCATTTGAGGGATCCAGTTAAGAGGCAAGTGAGCTGGGGAAACATTTAATCCGGGCTTAGTGGGATTTGCTGACGCAGCTCACAGTGACTTCCTGGTATAGAGAAGCTACCTCCCGCTAAGTGTAGGAAGGGCTTCCAGGAACACTCGTTCCACAGGACATCCCACCAGCAGGTGCAGCAAAGAGGCTGGACCCTGCCATACACACCCCACCACACCCACCAAAATAGCAGTCAGAGTTCATCTGCGGAAAATCTGCAAAAGGCCACACAGGTAACATTGTTAGTGGAGGATTTGGTTCTCACCAAGGCCTGGCCAGCACAGATGTTCTCTCCTGTTAGAAAACAGTTGATATTGAAAGAATGCAATTACACCACACATTGCTTTGTGTTCTGATGAGAGTTATACAAATTAGAATTGATCAAAAGTCTTGTATTTGTGAGCCCACACCAGTAGTAGTACCACATGGGTCCTCTGGGGGCGAAGTCACAGATTTTACGCAGTCCCGTATTGGATTATTTCTTAGTGTAACTGATACACCGCATCTTCACAAAATCTGGTGGTTCCAGCAAAATGGTACGCAAAATTGCCACCAACGCAGAGAAGCGCTTGCAGAAGCAAGTGTTCTGATGACAAAACTCCTACACAGACTCATCAATAAGTCAATGTTGTGGCATCAGAGTAATCTGGTGGCACAGCTTCGTGGCTGAATACAACGTGGCGGTAATTTTTAAAGGCATCTGAATGATTCCTATGAATGCCTTAATTTCACATACATTTTGTACATGTTTTGAGGATTACAAATGAAACGCATTTAGAAAAAAATACTACAGAGGTGCACTGGGTAATCAATAATAAAAAGAATGTAATTTCTCTACGTTTTGTGAATTTGGTGACATTCACCAGCTTCTTAAAATTTGTAATTTGGAATGATTTTTAAAATTAAAAAATATTCACCTTTTTTCAACTTTTTCATTGTGGCCAAATACACATAACATAAAATGTACCATCTTAATCATGTTTTTAAGTATTCGGTTCAGTGTAATTAAACACATTCATAACGTTGTTCCAGCATCACCACTATTTAGCTCTCCAATTATTTTCATCTTGTAAAACTGAAACTCTACCGACTAAACACTAGTTCCCCTTCTCCTTCCCAGCGGCTGGCAGCCGCCATTCTACTTTCTGTGTCTCTGATGCTGGCGGCTCTAGGGACCTCACAGAAATAGAATCATCACATAGTTGTCCTTCCATGACTGGTTTATTTCACTAGCACGATGTCCTTAAGCTTCACCCATGGTGCAGCGTGTGCCAGAATTTCCTTCCTTTTTTTTTTTTTTGAGATGGAGTCTTGCTCTGTCACCCAGGCTGGAGTGCAATGGCGAGATCTTGGCTCACTGCAACCTCTGCCTCCTGGGATCAATCGATTCTCCTGTCTCAGGCTCCTGAGTAGCTGGGATTACAGGTGCTTGCCACCATGCCCAGCTAATTTTTGTATGTTTTAGTAGAGATGGGATTTCACCATGTTGATCAGGCTGGTCTGGATCTCTTGACTTAGTGATCCACCTGCCTCAGCCTCCCAAAGTGCTGGGATTACAGGCGTGAGCCACCATGCCTGGCCAGAATTTCCTTCCTTCTTAAGGCTGATTAACATTCCATTGTGTGGATAGATCTCATTTTGTGCATTCATTCCTCTATCAGTATGGTGTCCTCCTTTTGGCTACTGTGAAATATGCTGCTCTCAACATGGGTGTGCAAATATTTCCTCCAGATCCTGCTTTCAATAATATTCACTTTTATATTTATGTTGGTACTTGTGATTTGCATGATTTTTCTAATATGGATAACTACTCCCAAATTATACAAGCTCCCTACCCTCTGGAGCCTGCCCCCACCAGGTTCCAGCACCCTGTCTGGAAAGGCTGCACCTCTCTCTACTGTGTCAAGCGTACGAGCTGCTTAGAAAGCTCCATCCTTCACACACGGGTGGCCTGGGTCCTGCGCAGCCCCTTAGGCATACTGAGGAAACCCCAAGACTGGGATGATGGGTCCTCAGCCCAAGGCCACTGCTGGCCTCCAGGCGGCTGCCTCTGCTCACTTCCCCTTCAGGCTCCAGCGAAGGCTTCCTTCCCTGACTGGAGGGGCGGGTAACATCTGGGCTGCGTCCTGTGTCCCCTACATCCACACCATTCCAAGGAGTCCTTTGGGTAAGGACTGTTTCCTGCAGCCCCTGTCTGGTAGCGCGCCTCCCCACTCTGCCTCTCTTCATCTATTCTTAACGCAGCGACAGAGGGATCTTTTCAAATATGAGTCAGACCATGTGGCTTCTCTGCTCTGAAGCCCCCAGGGCTGCCCATCTCCCTTAGAGGAAAAGCCACAGTTTTGATCACAGCCACGAGGCCCTACCTGGCTGGACCTGGTTTCTCCCTGACCGTGTCTCTCAGGCCGCCGCCCACAGTGGGGCTCCTACTGCTCCATGGGTTCCTCAGGTGCGCCCCCTCGGTGCAGGTGACCTCGGAGTTTGCACCATGATGTAGCTCCGGCTGCCTGCTTCCCCTGCGTTGGCCGGCTCCTTCATTTTCAGCAGTGACTGGCGTCAGGGCTCCTGCAGGAAGAGCTGGTACCCTTGGATCGGGCAGCTTGAGAAGAGTTGACCAGAGAGGCTATTTACAGAGGTATGGATGGAGTCCTGTGGGAACGCTGCAGTGGCCAGGTCTGGAAACCATGGGGAGCCAGCCCTTAAGCCTTGAGGATGGGGACAGGAAAGCCACTGGACCCTGGAGAGAGCAGGCTGTATGGGGAGCACTGTGGCCTCCAGTCAAGGGATACGGCCAGCCACTGCAGTCCCATGGAAGGGCTGGGACAAGGAACACCCATCCCCCCTTACCTCCCCTGCTCTCCTGCTGGGCCCCCACCTGGTGAACCCTAGGAACTCATCCATGTGGCCCCCCAGGACAGTCCCCCTGGACAGCAGAGAGTGCTCTTGGAGGAGCCAGCAGGAGATGCCCAGCTCAAGGTCTTGAAAGCCACCTTTCATGATGAAGTTTCCTTCAACGTGAGAGTGGCAGAGACGCACAACTTTGTGAATAGGCTGTCAAGCGCTGAGCAGAAAACAACATGGTGAATTTCATGGTGTATGAATTACTTCTCCATTAAAAAATCTTTTTTTTTTGAAAACTGCCTTTTGAATGAGTGAAGCCTTCCCTGGCTACAAGATCTACCATCTTGCCTGACCCCTGACATTCCCTGTCCTTCTTCACAGCATCTTTCTTCTCCTCGGTGGCTACCACGGGGTGTACCATATCCAGGCCTCCTCCTCTAGCACGCAGCCTCCATAAGGGCAGGGCCTGCCGGCTGTTGTCCCTGCCGTATGCCCGGTCCCTCAGCACAAGGAGGTGAAGATGATCGGAATGAAAGGGATTAAAGGGGGTGGATCCTGGGTGGAGGTGAGGGCTCTTAGGCCAAGTCCTGTCTGCTCTCCAGGGCCTTTGAACAGGAGCCCCAGGGCCCCAGGGTCAGTTTGGAAACTCCTATGTAGCCAGAAAAAGGCTTTCATTTCCCCTTCATTTTACAAATGTGTCTCGGACGGCTCATTTTATCCTCAAGTGACACAGAGGACATCACGAGGGCCATCTGTGACATCCATACACCACTGTTCCGGGCAACGTTATTAACAACAGCAGCAGGTGGAAGCAACCCAGGTGTTCACCACATATGGACATGGGTTAGGGATAAATCCAAGTGTCAACAAACTAACAAAACGTGACCTTGCACACGATGGACTAGTAAAAGGAAGGAAATCCTGACACACACTACGACATGGATGAACCTTGAGGACATTATGCTGAGCGAAATAAGCCAGTCACAAAAGGACAAATACTGTATGATGCCATTTCACGTGGTTCTTAGAGCAGTCAGATTCACAGAGACAGAGAGCAGCATGGTGGGTGCCGGAGCTGGAGGGAGGGAGCAGTGGGGAGTTAGTGTGTAATGGGTGCAGAGCTTCAGCTCTGCAAGGTGAAAAGCGTTTTGGAGATGGAGGCCGGTGGCGGTTTCACCAGCACGTGAATGGATTTAGCACCACTGAACTCTACGCTAAAAAATGCTTACGATGGTAAATTTTATGTTACGTGTATTTTACCACAATTTTAAAAAAATAAGTGAGAAAAAAGAGGTGTGTGGGGAGGGGCTATACAGCTGCCCTGGGCAAAACCAGGAGTCCAGACACCCCCGACTTCCTCATCTCCAAGAGACTGCTTCCCATCCTTCAAACAACCATCGCTCCAAAATGCCAGTCTGGCTGGATTGCAGAGCTTTAAAGGGAGAGTACATTTCAGATTCCTAATGCCTTTAATCAGGGCCCAGCCAATTTTACTCAACAAGGGAGGAGGAAATGAGAAATAAGGTCATTAGACGAAATGGTCTTGCTTGAACACGTGCCTCCTGCAACTACACACAGGCACGGGGACATACACATGCACACGCCTCCCC